TTCGAAAACAATCAAAAGTATGGGGTCGATGGTGTAGTTACAAATGTGAGAATCTCATTCTAGCTGTAGCTAGGATCTTGGGACATTACAGAACACAGAAGTATTTTTTGACAATTAAGCCACCAGACAACTTAACTGTGTTGTGGTTGTGCCTGACCCAATTCTCTTTGTTCTCCATTTTGTTCTCTCCACACACAATGTATTATTTCTCCTCTTCAACTAACTCACAGAGCTCTCTCTGGATGTGGCGACTCAGCCAGCTGACTGGGGTCATACCACCACCTCATACTGTGACAACAAGGACAACACACTAGCACCCTTTTGCTTTGTGTTAGATAGATGGATCCCTCCGAATAACAGACACGGTGGGACGGTATTTGTCAATTAAAGGGAGGTTGTCCTCAGTTTTGGAGTCAAAAGCTAAAAAGTGACATTCGCACCTCAAAGGTATCCTTGATTGAGAGGTTTTGTTTTATAACCTTTATATGGGGTGTTCACTATAGGAGATTCTACTGTTTAGCTCCTTAATCTCCATATAATCAGCTCAGGTGGTAGAGCACTCTGCCTGAGACTGTAGAGTGTTTGCGGGTTTGAGTCTAACCAAGGGCTGCAGCTCATAACTCTTATTGTCCTGGGTGTTGTCAGTTTGTTTTCTTAGCATTTGGCCTCACCAATGATTCTTACATAGTACGTACAGTACATGTATATATAATACCTTGTTGCCATAGTGCCTAAGGAAGAGTCTTCCCTCGTCGAGCTTCATACTGTGTGTGTTTGAAAAATAAATTTATAGAGTACAAACTGCAGTTGATATTAAAATTTAGTCCTGGGCAGTTTATATGGGAAATGGTGCTGGGGCACCTACCATATTATCATAAGTCAGTACACCATTCTCACACACAGGAGTGTAGAGACAGTAAAGTCACCTGGACTGCAACCTCTCTGCCGTCAACATCAGCCAACATCATAGGCTCTCCCAGCCTCCAATCAGTGCTGATTGTCAGGGGCTCCTCCTTTCCCTCCAGACTCACCTCCAGCCCATCCTCACTCCACCCACACCTCACAGGGACACTCTCCTCCTCACACTTTACCACCAGCTCCCAGTCCTGGGGCTCCAGGTCCACCGTCTCTGACTGTCTGGAGGGAGGGGAGGGGGTTAAGTTCTCGCAGCTAGCAGGAACGACAGCTCAAGAGTCTTGTCAATCTCACAACAGAATCATGGCCCGTGGCCAAAGTACACACACATCATGACACAATGCACCATACACAATACAGGGTGATATGTATGTGGCAGTGCCCAGTATTCAATAAACCAACATAAGTCAATACACAATAGAGTGAATGGAGGAAGAAGGGAGAGAGAAGCAAGTAACAGTAGGTGGCGAGAGGAGAGGGAGAAGCGAAGGGAGGGTGGTTTGCGACAGATGGCCAACTCACTGCCTCGGCCAACACAATCAGAGCAATCAGATTAGTTGTAAGTAGAGGAGACTCGGTAGGTTACATGTGTCTAAAATCTGGTAATAACAACTATTACCTCTCTTGGTTGAGGAATTGTTTGGCTGTGTCTTCACGAGATATGTGCATGTAGCAAGCAGCAGCCACCAGTTCATCCTTCTCCCCCTCACTCAGAACCCGACCTACAACACATCGACATGTATCCTCTTATTCATCCATGTGACAACAACAAGGTGAGTTAGAAAGGCAAGCCTAAGCAAACAAGTCAACTACACTCTGGAAAGCTGCCAAGGAAAAGAAGAAGAGCTGCCCTGGGTGGGACTCAAACCGAGGAAAACTTTCCCCCAAGGAAATGAAGAGCCGCCCTGTGTAGGTGGGATTCGGGACCCACGATACTCTGCTGTCTAGGCGAGCGCTCTACCAACTGAGCTACCAGGGCAACTCAGCTGGTAGGGGTTCAAATCTACAACACAATACAACACAAGACAGAGGCAAACCTTAACACCACTGTGCTATGGCACAGTGTACTCTCACTCAGTATGTATGTGTGTCTGTTTGTCTGTCTGTCTATGGCACAGACTCTCACTCAGCATGTACCGGTAAACAGGGGTTGAAACTCTGGTTTGTATATACCAAAAAATGGGGTTTTGCGCACAACATTATAATTTTTTATGCTTGTAGAAGGTGCAGACTATGGGGTTGCAACATTCTAAACCCCCACATTCAACCCTTGCAGATGTCACCATTACACCATCATACCCCAACCAACAGAAACACACAAGGGCTACCAGCTGACCTTTGAACCCATCGGGGTAGACTTCAGGTATGAAATTAGTGGTGATGTCACCGGACACGAAGCGAGGCTGTGTGATGATGTCTCTCAACACTGGGATATTGTGATTCACACCTGTACAGTGTAAGTACATACAAATACAGCAGCACATAATAAAGCATCCTCACACAAACAGTTCACAGTGTATCGGTGAAATCTAGGAACTCTTCTAATGTTTTTGGACGTTCGTGCAAACTTCAATTGACATGAACTTCTGCGTGATTGAGATGCAGGACCAGCAAAGGAACTCAGTACGCAATACATATGTGTGTGTAATAATGCATAATGCGCAGCACAGCAGAGCAGTAACTGAACCTTGGATGCAGTAGTGGTCCAAAGCCTTGGCCATCGTGGCCAGTGCCTCGTCCCTTGTCTCGCCATGAGTCACCAGCTGAAGAATATCAGGTCACACAGTACGTATAGAACCATGTATTGTGTGCTAGCGAAATTCACATCCAGTGTGCTAAAACCACAATGATAAAGGTAAAGGATGGCAACAAATATATTGTATAATAGTCATAAAAAAATTTATGCCCCGCTTATGTGGTATTTAATGCTGACAAACGGTAGTTGTATTTCGGGAGAAATGAGCAAACCTTGGAGATCATGGGGTCATAGAACATACTGATGGTGCTGCCTTCCACAATCCCAGTGTCCACTCTCACCTATAGGAATATAGTTTACACAAACAATTGTCTTTTTCTGAGCATAGTGCATACTAAAAGTTACATAAAACATACAAATGGACCACTAATTAATGGGGTTCACACTCTATTTTCTCTAATACACCATGCTCCTGTCATCATATTGCATAATTTCAAAGCGTGCACTACCACACAGCCCACCAATAGACCATTTCCACATGGAGTTGTGTGCACAACAAGATGAATGTATATAAGTCGTAGCACCCACGCATGGTTCTCAATTTAAAACCGTATTGTACAGAGTTTCCCAAGCTATAGTATGGTTCTCAATTTTGCTGCAAATACAGAGCTACGAAAAACTGTATTGTACGGCTACATATGTTTCCCAAGCTATAGTGCAACAGGATGCTAACATTCTCCAGTCCGGGGGCATTCAGAGGTTCCTTGTAGGTTGAGAGGTAGCCGATGGAGGGCAGGAACCTGACTGGGTCCTCTGCATACACCCGGCACTCCACTGCCCAGCCATTGATACCAATATCCTCCTGCTTCAGACTCAGCGGACAACCTGAATAGCATCATTGTACATATAACTAAGACACCGGGACAACATACAAAACATGGCTAGCATGCAGTAGGAGACTTGGACACAAAAACCTGGACAAAGTATTATACACCACATGGTATAACATATGCAGTAGAAAAAGGGGGAACTAACAGAAAATGGTTACTTATCCTTCTACAAGTCGGGGCTAATAATTATATAGTGTAGTGTTTTATACTTTAAATCTGTGTTACGTGTACTTGTGTAGTGGGGTCGCCATGTGCATTGGGAGTGTTTGCAGGTCTGTGCAATACATAATGTAGTGTGACAACACCTATGTATATACACACTTACAATGTGTGTAAGTTGGCCGAAAGGTTCATGCAATTTGCACAATGATACATAAATACTACTTCATATCTGCATGTACAACTTGGTAGCGAGGTAGAAAGGCAAGGCAAGGCAAACAGGTCAACTACACCCAGGACAGCTCCTTCTTTTTAAAGAAAGCTTCCCTGGATGGGATTCGAACACACAACACTCTGCAGTCTAATAGAGCGACTCACCGCTGGCAACGTTGATCATCTCCCTGACGATGTCGACTCCTGTAATTAGCTCGGTGATTGGGTGCTCCACTTGCAGTCTGGTGTTCATCTCCAGGAAATAGAAATTCCTCTGAGAGTCAACCAGAAACTCACACGTCCCTACATACACACAGAGGAGGAAATGAGTATGTCTTAGCTAAACATGATATTTAGTGGAAGGACAATACGAAATCGTAAGAAATAGTAAAGAAAGATAAAAAAAGGCGGGATGACAAAAAACACAAGCCTCTCTAGAATAAAAAAGACTCTACCAAACTGTTCATGCATTGCACGCTGTCATGTCATGCTTGTTTCATGCAATGATGGTAGTAAAATTATAGACAAGGTATCACAGCACAGTGTGCTAACCAGCAGAGGAGTATTTGACGGCCTTGCTGAGAGCCACTGCCTGTTCTCCCATTGCCTCCTGGTCTCTGGGTCCAGGAACGTACTGCAGAGAGACAGCACTCTCATATGCGATTCATGAGCTCACAAATCTATGTCTGAATATTTTCCCATGAGCCATACTGTATAGAGGGTAGCTTTTGAGTACGAGGGCCATTTTGTCTATTGGCATGCAGTTCAATTGTTCAATATACGCATGTGTATATAAAAAAAGCCTTGCACATGCTCACTTTGAATTGCTACCCTTTGCAGGTGATATACATACACATACATAGTGGCAGTGGTTACAGGATTAGGTAATATACCTGGGAGCCTCCTCAATGACCTTCTGATTTCTCCTCTGAATGGAGCACTCCCTCTCGTTCAGGTATATCTGCACCACATTACAATATTCACTGTCTGTGACATGTTCACATACGTAGAGCACTACAATATTTCAGCTTACCACATTTCCATGCTTGTCCCCCAAAACCTGCAAAGAGCAGAGCAAAAGGGACCATAAGAACCAACTATATACGTATATTGCATTCCCGTATGGGCAGCACCGTCCACATCATATTATAAACTATGAGGTAGGAATGCAAAGGCACAACAAACAAGTCAACTACACCCAGGACAGCTCTTTTCTTCCAAGGAAAAAAGAAGAGTTGCCCTAGGTGGGATTCGAACCCATTACACTCAGCATTCAAGGTGAGCTAACTAGAGTATAATTATAGGTGGACCTGCTTTGCTCATCTAGTGATTCAGTAAAAAGAGAGAGACCTGTATCTCAATGTGTCGAGGTTTGTCGATGAATTTCTCGATGAGCATTCGGTCATCATTGACGGAGGTAACGGCCTCCTCGGTGGCCATAGAGAATCCCTCGCGACACTCCTGCTCGTTTCTGGCCACCCTCATCCCTTTCCCCCCTCCCCCTGCACTCGCCTTCAGCATCACTGGATACCCTGCAACAGGGAGCTATGCAGTAATGACTGATTTGGTATATAATGTTCAGTACATATACTGTGTAGACAATGCTTAAACCTTTCTCGTAAGACTGCATGTGTATATGCAGCTGTCTCTTAAGGACTCAGGGTAAGGCTGACCAACCTTCCAAAAAACCTGAGTGCTGCATAACCTGACTATATACGGGTGGCATAAACTTTGAGAGCAAGAACGTGGGGGTAAAGGCAGGTCCACCAAATATGGCCTACTTCCTCGTACTTTTAGCAACAATGCGAAGGCAAGGACGAACAAACAATCCACCTTTATTACCTTGACAACAGCTAGAGAGAGCAGTAAAAACAACAACAGGCTTCATAGTGTAAAACTTGGTCTTAATTGGCCACAGTAATTGAAGGGGACAGCCATTCTGAAGGCTATAGCATTGAAAATAGTTGACAATGACTCTTCATACAAAGTGCAATCCCTAGGCACAAATTAGTGCAGTGTGATGAATACTGTACAACATGATGTGCAGAAAGGTCCACAATTATTGCCGTCAAACTGGAAAACTTGGATTCAACACGATAAGCCAATTTCTGGTACTTACACAGGCTACCAGATTTAAAGCATTAGAGGAAAACCTTCTATATGTATGGCTTTAATATGCACAGGACTAATAGAATATTGCCACAAAGTAAGGCAGTGCTCATTAGCACATGGGCTTGTTCTCCTGCTTTCAAGCTACATAATGAGAGCTTTTGGTGTGCCTACAACAAACTACATACTTGGTGCAAACACACAATAATTAGTTAAAGATTACCTATTTCTTCTGCCTTTTTCACAGCCTCATCTGCATCCTAGAAATTTATGAGGGGTTGTGTTACAAATGTCATAGTCAGCAATAACATCGACTAATAGAAGATAACTACACAATATTGAACCCTCCCCTAACAAGTATTGGGTGTGGTCTGATGGATTACAATGAGTGTTAATATAAGAGGAACGTTTTTTCATCAGCTCTCGTGGCCAGCCCGAGTGGCTAAGTGGTTAGAGACGAGACATGGGGACTGACACCATAGGTGCCCGGTTCGAATCTTCGATCCCGCACTAAAATGTCAGATGGTCCAGAGCATTGGCTGGGAACAGCTCTGGTTCCTCCCCTTACCCATGAATCTACTTCGGCATAGCACTGCGTCCGTAGACGTCTGTCTGGAGAGATGGAGGGCTGGCCCAAAATATTTTTCTTTTCAAAACACATTATTTTACCCCTCATTAAACAGTGCATAACATTCTTTTTGTATTTTTTTGTCCGTCTGGAGAGATGGAGGGCTGGCCCAAAATATATTTTTCCCCTAATGGATAAGTTTAAACAGTGCATCCATATATTTTTTTATGCCTCTCAACCTCTTTCGGAATGCCCTACATATGTCCATTACAATTACAAAACATAAATGGAAAACAGCCTGTTGGCATGACTAGGTGGGCTCGCTTTTCTCGCCAAAATAACCCTCCACCTGTGCAAAGGGTTTATGTGTTTGGTCAGGTTAGTGCCACCACTCTTCATGAATCGGTTTCTGCATAATACTGTGTATAGGGGTTGGTAAGGATGAACCGAGGGTTTACATTTCATTGTGTCATGTACGTGGTGTGCAGGGGAGCAAAGCCTCCATCGTGGGAGATGAGCTTCTGGCTGACATGCTTCAAAAGATGGAGGTATATACCTAATATTATGTATACAAGTGGAAAAATCATTTCTTCAAAATGAAAGGGGGATATAGGGATGGCTTGAAGCACCAAAAAGGAAGAAACAAGGGGTCATTACACAGCAAAGGTGCACAAAGCTACATGACACCATCCCTATATCTTTGTCTCATATTAAACTTTACTTCAAGGTAAACTGTTGCAGAGTG